CACAACAAACAAATCAATCTTTCGGAAACATTTAAAGTGTTTTAAGGCTGGAGTATTCAAACAACCGCTAAAAACACTCTTTAAAGTTACTGTTAAACCATAAACACTTTACACTAAAATCATTTGACATGTTTCAAGCCAAAATGTGAACCACTCAATCAATTCATCTTTATTCACATCATTAAGTCCAAGCTGGGTCACATCAGCTGATTCCGTTTCACGTATCTCTACTGCAAGGCTCCGAAGTAAGCACTACAATACCTATAACAAACTAATACTCGGCTGTACGAGAAAGGGAGCAAAAGTATTTCTGTTTTCCAGATATTTCTCAGAAATATAAAGATTGGAATAAGTACTTAGTCATGCTGTTGATCCTGGGGCCAGTAATTACTAAATCTGAACTTACACCGTAAACTGACAAATCAGAGTGTACAGAATTCATGCCTGTGCAGTCTTTTGGCATAGCATAACATTGTAAGTTGCAGTAACTGTCAGTGTCCTTTAATCTGAGTGAGTAATCATGGAACTTACTTCCATGGGACCGACAACACAAAAGTTTGGATCGATACATTCTTACACAGATGGTCCAAGAGATAAGAATCTTTGAGTCCCAGAAGTAAGACTGTGAAACGTGAACCTTCATGATTAACCCTCCCAATGTCAGATGCAGTGTGACAATGTGAAATTAAAATGTTTCTGCTATTGTAAGGCAAAAGGAGGCAACAATTCAAGGAGTGGGAATGGTTTGGCGCCGCTTTTAACAATATTCCAGCAATATCATGGCAGGGGACACTAGAAATGGGCATCACACATTGTACCCATGTGGGGAATCGAATCCTGGATCTTCAGCATGACGAACGAACACTTTAACCACAAGGCTACCCCACAGCCCCAACGATTCAATGTGAAACTGTAACTCTATGTAACAATGTGACATACTATGGCAACAGTGAAGCATTGTTCAATTTCAAATTGAAACAGTGTGTACTTAAATTGAAATGTAGCATGCCAGTGCAACACTATGAAATTGTAACACAATGTAACATAATGTAACATGCAATATTACACTTTTGTTACATTATGTCAAGTGCATACTCAGGTTGCAAGACAATATCACATTGCTGCATGATGGAGCAGTCGCCGGATGACACTGCAACATAACACGACACTGCGTGCAATGCATCATGACACTGTCATTCAACAAAGGTTCAAAGTGTAAGAGAAGCTCAGCTCTTCTTTTCTATCATCCATCATTGCTGCCTGTTCTTTCTCTATATTCTAATGGTGAAATATTTCAGTTACCCTCCATATGACATCCTGTACGAAAATAGTAACATTGTTTGATGATATACGCAGTTTTACCAGTGTTACAACATACAAAGTAACACTGGTTCATGATATGCACAATGTAACATTGTTTGATGATATACGCAGTTTTACCTGTGTTACAACATACAAAGTAACACTGGTTCATGATATACACAATGTAACATTGTTTGATGATATACGCAGTTTTACCTGTGTTACAACATACAAAGTAACACTGGTTCATGATATACACAATGTAACATTGTTTGATGATATACACAGTTTTACCTGTGTTACAACATACAAAGTAACACTGGTTCATGATATACACAATGTAACATTGTTTGATGATATATGCAGTTTTACCTGTGTTACAACATACAAAGTAATGTAACATTGTTTGATGATATACGCAGTTTTACCTGTGTTACAACATACAAAGTAACACTGGTTCATGATATACACAATGTAACATAGTTTGAAGATATACACAGTTTTACTTGTGTTACAACATACAAAGTAACACTGGTTCATGATATACACAATGTAACATTGTTTGATGATATATGAATGGTTATCTAAAATATAACACTGCTTCATGATATACACAGTTTTACCTGTGTTACAACATACAAAGTAACACTGGTTCATGATATACACAATGTAACATTGTTTGATGATATATGCAGTTTTACCTGTGTTACAACATACAAAGTAATGTAACATTGTTTGATGATATACGCAGTTTTACCTGTGTTACAACATACAAAGTAACACTGGTTCATGATATACACAATGTAACATAGTTTGAAGATATACACAGTTTTACCTGTGTTACAACATACAAAGTAACACTGGTTCATGATATACACAATGTAACATTGTTTGATGATATATGAATGGTTATCTAAAATATAACACTGCTTCATGATATACAGTGTAACGCTGTTTCATGATATACAGCATAACACTGTTTCATGATATATGCATTATCATATACAATGTAACACTGCTTCATGATATACACAGTCTAACACTGTTTCATGATATATGCATTATCATATACAATGTAACACTGCTTCATGATATACACAGTCTAACACTGTTTCATGATATACAGCATAACACTGTTTCATGATATATGCATTATCATATACAATGTAACACTGCTTCATGATATACACAGTCTAACACTGTTTCATGATATATGCATTATCATATACAACACTGTTTCATGATATATGCATTATCATATACAATGTAACACTGCTTCATGATATACACAGTCTAACACTGTTTCATGATATATGCATTATCATATACAATGTAACACTGCTTCATGATATACACAGTCTAACACTGTTTCATGATATATGCATTATCATATACAATGTAACACTGCTTCATGATATACACAGTCTAACACTGTTTCATGATATATGCATTATCATATACAATGTAACACTGCTTCATGATATAACACTGTTTCATGATATACAGCGTAACACTGTTTCATGATATATGCATTATCATATACAATGTAACACTGTTTCATGATATACACAGTCTAACACTGTTTCATGATATACAGCATAACACTGTTTCATGATATATGCATTATCATACAATGTAACATCATATACTAAATGTAACACTGCTTCAATGATATACACAGTCTAACACTGTTTCATGATATACAGCGTAACACTGTTTCATGATATATGCATTATCATATACAATGTAACACTGCTTCATGATATACACAGTCTAACACTGTTTCATGATATACAGCATAACACTGTTTCATGATATATGCATTATCATATACAATGTAACACTGCTTCATGATATACACAGTCTAACACTGTTTCATGATATATGCATTATCATATACAATGTAACACTGCATAACACTGTTTCATGATATGATACTATTTCATGATATATCAGTCTATCACTGTTTATACAATGTAACACTGCTTCACTAACACTGTTTCATGATATTCATTATCATATACAATGCACACTATAACACTGTTTCATGATATACATACAATACACAGTCTGTTTCATGATATATGCATTATCATATACAATGTAACACTGCTTCATGATATACACAGTCTAACACTGTTTCATGATATATGCATTATCATATACAATGTAACACTGCTTCATGATATACACAGTCTAACACTGTTTCATGATATATGCATTATCATATACAATGTAACACTGCTTCATGATATACACAGTCTAACACTGTTTCATGATATACAGCATAACACTGTTTCATGATATATGCATTATCATATACAATGTAACACTGCTTGTTTCATGATATATGCATTATCATATACAATGTAACACTGCTTCATGATATACACAGTCTAACACTGTTTCATGATATATGCATTATCATATACAATGTAACACTGCTTCATGATATACACAGTCTAACACTGTTTCATGATATACAGCATAACACTGTTTCATGATATATGCATTATCATATACAATGTAACACTGCTTCATGATATACAGCGTAACACTGTTTCATGATATATGCATTATCATATACAAAGTAACACTGCTTCATGATATACACAGTGTAAGGTACTGTAACATTGATTAAGGATGTAACAAAGTATCTCTTCGACTGTAACACTAGTTCCTCAGATGACAAAAAAATCCTGGCTCTGCCAAGGTAACAGCAGTTCTATCCTCCTAGAACTTCCGCCTCATTCAAGGGAGCCAAGTCATTTCCAGCTCAAATGAACTAAGGCAAAGGACGTCCTTCTTAAAATTTCATCCTATTTTTCATTCTATGGAAATAAAGTGACTGAAGATGGATGGACAGAGCTACGGAGGCAGGAATGAAATCAAAGAATTAATCAATGTTTGCATCTTGGTATTATTTGCAATCTTGGACTTTTTTTTCACATCTGGCATATTTGCGGAAATAGAAAATCTTTACTAACTGTGGCCTGCATTCTCACAGTGGCAGGGATGTAAAGTATGTATGCTTGCAGGCACTGCCTGTGCCAACACATACTGAGGACTTCACATTGGTCAAACTGAGACAGTTCCTTATTCAAAATGAAGATTAGAAGTAAAAAGTGATTTTTTCAACACTGCTTGTCTTTTGATCAGTTTGTCTTGTCTACGTAAACTCAAAGTTATTTCCTGGTATTAAATCTTCAGTATGTTCACCGAAACCATGGGAATTTACACTTATCTAACATAGTTTCACAGCTGAAAATGCTTAGGCTACCAGTAGAATGCATCACATTTTTCACAAAAGTATTTTTTTATGCTGAATCTGAAAAGTGACAAACATAAATGTGTACATTTATTTGTTCTCCAGTTAACCTAACAGCTTTAATCTAACATGATGCGAGTGATGTTGGAGGTACAAGAGCCCTCGACATACCGGCCCCGATGTCTGGTAGTCGCACTGAAGGAAATCAGAAAACTCCTCTGGAAAATTTCAAACTGTGGATTTTAGATGCCATTCCATGTGATTTAAAAAAAATCTTTTGTACTTAAGAAAAAAAATACAATTATGATTCAATTCTACACTAAACTGATGACCCTTGCAGTAGGCTTAGGAAACAAACATGAATAGGGGCGAAAGTGTGATATGCAAATGATATGCAAATTGTTGACGGACAAACGTTTCGACCACTCACCTTGCGCTATGAATGTGTCGTAATACTGTAGTAGGTTTGCCCGCTGTAGCACCCGATATAGCTGCCATTCCGAGGCATTTGAAGGTTGCGTGGTTGCCATAGCAACCGAAAAGTTCCCTGAAATATCCAAGAAAGAAGTCACTTTAGGTTGAGCACAAATTTGGGACTGATGTGGATCAGCATACATGGACGCAGTTTCGGCCAGTACGGAAACACATTGTAACGGTAGGAGTGTGGATGAAATTTCTGGTGTGGTTGGCGACTGTGACGATGTGCCAAGCATTGACTGCGGCCTGTCCCCCGTCATCAAAGTGAGGGAGCGGCGCCGGACGGAGGAATGACACGGTGACGTGCCTCCCTACCGATCTAATGCCGGTGACAGCCTAGAGGGCCCCGGCTCCCCCACGGCCTGACATCCCAGGGTAAACACGTGGCCAGTTGGCGACACACACAGGAATGCAGGCCACAAAGAGAGACACACACACTAGCTGGCTTCCTGACAAAGCTTTAAGAAAGTTCAAACAAAAACAGCCTGCCTTCTCCCCTCAAGATTAGTTGCCAAATACCCAGGCGTACCTCCACAGGGGTCGGCCCGGGCCCCCACTGTTCATACACAGACCCCTAGTCATGTCGCTGCAAGAGCTCAGGGATGGGCAGACGGACAGGCCCCTTGACCAACAGGGAAGTAACGTCACCATGGACAGCATTGCTAGCTTTGTAAATCCCTCGTTCTAATATCTATTAGTCACAAATATCACTTAGGCGATAACAAATAAATCAGAAGATATTCCCTTTAGAGAAAAGGCACAGTCAGGATTACTATGGATTCTGTATAAACCTACAGCAATAATCATGGCCTTATTTCAGACTCCAGAAAGTTGTCTTGAAGTGCTGCTTCATGGTTGTTTTTTGTGGTAATGTATAATAATTCAATATGTATTTTATTTCGAGCAGCCAGATGCTGCATATGGAATTAAAAGTGGTGTAAGGCAAGGACGTATCTCTCAAGTTCTATCTTCCAAGTTTAAAAAAATATTGCTTTATATTTTCATTGACATGAACTTATGTGATATGGCAAAACTTGTTTTTCAAGCTCTGTTTTCAAGGGTTTTTTAAAAAGTAAGTGATACATTTTCATTGCAATGAATTTTATTTGTAAAATTACCTGAAGTGGAACCTACCCTATTACACAAGATACCTTTCTGAATAGAAAACATATTTTGAAAAAAACAATAACACAAGAGCACTAACTCCACTTCTAAGGACAGGTTTCGTAACATGCAAGCAAAAATGCAAGTATTATATTTTATCAAATAAGGCATTGCTACTGAGTGCAGGTTTTATGGATTTTAGGAAAAAAGGGACTGCAGAACAGGACTTTGATATTTTGATTCAAATTACAAACATTTCTCATTTACTTTGATGAAATGTTTCATAAAGTGAATTGAAAAACTCTATTTCAAATTCTTTCCTTGACTGCTGATTAACAAGTGCCAGGCTTCCCTGGGCAAAAAGGGATTCAAATTATCTTGAAAAGGAAAAACAAATACCATTGCCATGGATACTGAATAAATATTGATGACTCAGAGCTAAAAATATAATCACCATGTTAAGGTCCCTGTTACTAAGGTCCCATATACCCATTCTGGGAATTAGTAAATTCTAGGCCTGCCAGCAAACAAGAAACAACAGCATTACCACAACTGTTTTTCCATTTCTAAACATTAGGACTAATCTAAATATTGAAAATACGCTTTCAAATTTTAATTATTCAGAAGCATGATTAAGTATTTTTAATCTTGGATGTAAATGGCCCAATATTATTGTTTCTTATAAATCTCTCAGCCGCTCAAATGTCAGTTAAACCTTGTGTAACTCTAATTGAGAAGAAGAAAAAAACGACTTGAAATTGTTATGTTTATAATGAGCACTTCCCTGTTAATGTTAAATGACACCAAAATTTCCATAAATTATATATTTCATATGCATATTTATTTAATTTTTAACATATGTGAGATAACCTTTATTCAATCAAACATGTTAAACCGTGTATATTACATACATAAATCATACCAATATGGGTTGAAACTAATTAGTTTTTGACAACTGATGAAAAGAATCGTTTTCAAATTGCAATTAAAAACATGTCAAACATTTTAACGGTGAAATTTATGTAATATTGCATGATACCTATTCACTGGCTACATCTGATGTGATAGGATACTGACCCAGGTACTCCCCCCACCCCCTCACAAGCACGCTGAAGCCACAGCTGTGAACATGAGCTGTATGCCAGTCTGAATCAACATCATAGGTACTTGCTAACTTAGCAAAACATCATAATGTGATCCTTTGTATTGGTTATTGGTGATGTACATACTAAACATATATTCACATTGAAGGATATTGTGTTTCTTATTTCAGCTCCCATGGTCGCAGATCTCATTAGTTCATATCTCAAACCATTCCGAGGGCTACCTGTGTTCATTGTGGATGTGCATGGGTTGAGGGGGTCCTTGCAAGGGATAAAAGATTAAGTATTTCCTGAGTGTGAATGAGCAGGGCTGGGGTGGTAGTAACAGGGATTGACAGTGGGAGTAACCGGGGCACAGGGGTGGGGGCAAGGGACGAAGGTTGAGATAACTCCCTTAGGACCGGGGTGGGAGTTCGGGAGGGAGGTTGAAATAACTCCTTTAGGACAGGGTTAGGGTTGGGGAAGGAGGTTGGAATAACTCCCTTAGAAAAGGGTTGGGGAGAGAGGTTGAAATAACCCATTTAGGACAGGGTTGGGGGTTGGGGAGAGAGGTTGGAATAACTCCTTTAGGACAGGGTCGGGGGTTGGGAGAGAGGCTGGAATAACTCCTTTAGGACAGGGTTGGGGGTTGGGAGAGAGGTTGGAATAACTCCCTCAGGACAGGGATGGGGGTAGCAGTGTTCACGAATGGTGTTTCAAAGTAACAGGACCTTGGGTCCTGTAAGTTTAAGATGTCTGTCTGACCCATTGAAAATTCACAGGACCCATGGAATAAAATTAAACACACATTTCAGATTTAACATTTCTTATAATTGGCATTGAAACTATTAACAAACATAAGAAAAATTAAGATAAAATACACAGCAAACAAGTGTCACATGTCACATATAACAACTTCAGTCAAAGTCATTGTGAAATATACAGTCGGACACTGGGGCCGGTGGGTTGTAGACTTCTATCGGACCGTTGGCGAATCTGCCGGATTTGTCAGAGGGTCAGACACTATTCGCAAACACTGGGGTAGGGAGAGGGGGTTGGAATAATTCCCTTGGGACAGGGGTGGGTCTTGTTAAGAAGGAAGAATGCATGAGGGTGGAGACAGAGGGATGGGCCGTGTGATAGGATGTGTCTCTGGGGCGGACGGGACTCTATGTAGGCAGAAGGAAGGTCTCTGTATTTTGGGTATGTGTGGGAGCAGAAGATAACTCAGCATTCAGAGATATTCCCAGCATTGTTTAAGGTGTGCTGCAACACATGCCTCTGAGGCCTGATGAAAATTCTGCTACAGATGACTCTGCTGCTCCCAATCCCCTGGGGGAGAGCGAGGAACTCTAGAAAAATCTGACAGTTCTCTGATCATATCAGTTTCCTATCACCTCAGGTTGTGATGTTACCAAGCTCGAGGTTTGAGATTTGATAATATAAAATAGCCACCACGTGCCACCATGTTTAACTCTGGAGCGGCTACACCATACTGCTGCCTCACAACACAAAGTCTGCTACCAAAACCTGACGTCAACTGACGTTCAGGGCAAATTGAGAGGTCGCAAGAGGGTATTTTTTGTTATGCATGCCTTACTTTTAGGACAGGACTACAGGGCTGATTTGTCATGTGCAAGCATTTTTCCTGAAGCAAATCCATATCAGTGGACCCTATATATCTTAACAATGATATAATAGATATAAACCATGGAAGCAATACTGAGGCCATTCAAATCTACTCTACTGTCAACTTTTAAAGATATATGCTAGCTAGTTTTAATTCAATCTGTGATATTCTAGTGGTTTTACTGCCATTTGTTGACAGGGTTTTATATATTATATGTATGTATTATAAATTTAGAACTAGTTTTAGTCACGATATGGCTGAAATATTGCCGATGTGACTTTAAATCTTAACTCACTCACTCACTCTACTGTCAAGGGAAATTGTTTATCATTACAAAAATGCAACAAATTTCCTTAAAAAGATCATTAACTCATGGAATGTAATATTGTCAGCTGCAAATAGTTCATTCAAGGGGCGGTGGGGTAGCCTAATGGTTAAAGCGTTGGCTCGTCATGCCGAAGACCCGGGTTCGAATCCCCACATGGGCACAATGTGTGAAGCCCATTTCTGGTGTCCCCCGCCGTCAGTCAGTCAGTCTTGTCATTCAATTATTGTTTAAACAAATGTAAATGGTAGAAGCTGTGAATGTAATGGAAACCATTCCTTGTTGCATGTAACCTTGACGATTTCATGCTGTATTTGGAGTGAGTGAGTGAGTGAGAGAGAGTTCCGCTTTGAACAGTGTTCTAATGATATCACAAGGTACCGGCTCAATGATCATGGAATGCCCAAAGAAATGCTGGTGTCAGGTATTCACCACTTTAACGAAACCCACGAGAATGAGTACAGTGTCAACGAACCTAGGGACAGAGTTTGGGTGAAGTTGGATCCCAACCTGTGGGATGACACTAAACGAAAGCAGAGCCATAGATAACTGGGCCAGCCATCACCCTGCTGCTCTGAGACACCCTTCCGATAATGGAGGGTGGAGTGGGGGAGGCGGCAGGGTAGCGGCTGAGGTTACTATGACACAGTGTGGGACTCTCACTTTCCGTGAAGGACACATAGAAACGTCACGACCCGATACCCTACCCATAAATCTTGCAGTATGACAACATCAATGAAAAACTTGTGTAATTGTCGACATGAGCCAAGTGCTCATCCCATCACTGCCAACTTATACAAATGACTTCCGGGGAAGATTTTACATGCAGAAGAATTACAGTTGTGAACTATAAAAGGTAAAATTCAGTCTTCCTCTTCGTTCATGAAAACTTAACAGTCTACAGTTTGAGGAAATCATCAGGAAAGAAA